TTAGGGGGTAGCACTCTCAAGGAAACGAGACCAGTGCTCCTTCTTAGTCTTCTTGATAGTCTTGAAATAGGCGTTCTTGGCCAAGCGAGCAGAGGCCCGAGTGTCATTTGAAGGTGATGTACAGGCCTCTCAGGCACGAGAATAGTGGACTTTCCTCAAGCCAGACAGGGTGTCAGACCACCAGGGCTTTGATCTTGTGAAGGGCTTTTTCCTTGGTATGTGCCTAGCTAGGACCAACCGAATCCTGCCAAGGTTGATGTCGAGCCACGTACTAAGAGCTTGCTGAGTCAGGAGGGGCGGGGGCGGCGGAATCGTGAGGGAGCTGAGGTCTTCCAGGACCTTGTTTCAGTCTGTAGCTTTCCAATGAGGTGTAAGCTGAGGGGGGGAGAGAAGAGGAGACGTCAACGTTATTGATATCGGGACATGGTCCGACCCGGTAGACTGTAGAGACGCATCCCATGTTTCCACGAAAGGCGCTAGGTGCTGATTGGTGAACGCCAAATCAAGCACAGATGGGGCATGGTTTTGGCCTAGTGAGAATCTAGTAAAAACTCCTGGAATATTTAGGAGAGAGAAGCACTGTTCTTGTGATAGGTCTGCATATGGGGTGGAGGTTCGGATTTCCCTTTTCCGTAGCGGCCTGTCGGGATCCCACTGAGGGTGGTGGATGTTGAAATCGCCCACCACTAGAGTGGGGAAGTCGAGAACAGGGTAAGCTTCCTCTGAGGAAACAGAGCGGTAGAGTGATGATGACGTCCAAAGAGAATAAAGATTAACCAGACGAAACCTCTCATGGGAGGAGTCAAACAAGCCAGACGGGATGTAGACATCCACTGCCATCAGGGCAGGGTTGTCGAAAAATACAGGAACCAAAGAAACAACATCAAAAAAGGAACGTAGTGCAAAGACTGCCACCCGTGGCTTCTCCCCCAGAGCCATTGGGGGAGAAAAGGACTTGAAGCCAGCGAACTGTGGCAGTTTTCCACGAAAAAAGGGAGGGTCTTGAAGAACAACAAGTACAGGAGGGGAGGGCAAAGCGACCAAGGAATTAAAGAGTGAGAGAAACACATTCCAGCTACCCATGCAATTGTATTGAACGAGGGAAAAAGAGCTAGTGCTCTGCGGAGGAGTAGTAGAAACCGGGAAAGGAGGAGGAATAGAGCGGTTGTCGCGCATTAATGGAACGAACCCGCTGGTAGTTTGGGGACTGGGGTGTGAGTGATGTGCTCCTGGGTACAGGAGGGGTCAGTTCCTTGGGGGCGTGATGGGGTACTGGGGACTGGGAAGCCACTTCCAGGTCTTCGGAACAGGGTCGAGAAAGGGAGGTTGGGGGGGGCTCTGGTGGTGAGGACATCTCCCAGGTCTACGGAAGGAGCAATGTTCTGGGGCCGAGGCAGTCTTGAGGAAGGACCCTCTCCTCCATCGTCCTGCATATCTATCTCTTCTTCCCCTAGGGGAGGGGACTCAGAGGCGGGCTGGGAAGGGGGTTTTGGACGTTGTGTGCACGACTGATCAAAGGCAGGGTAGGTGGAGGAGCAATTGGTACAGAAGGGGACAGAGGTGGGGCAACAGTAGGCCACTGGTTTGAGGTTGCCACCTTTGGGACATGTCGGGTTCTGGCAGCGGTGGGTTGCCTTTGTATGGCTGAGGGCGCATATTGGGCAGACCGGGTGGTCGGTCCTGCATCTTGGTACTTGGTGGCCATAGTCCCAGCAGTTCTTGCATTGAGTGAATTTGTTCGCAGAGAAGGCTCGTTCAATCCGGCAGCGTGAGGCCTAGAGGACGGTCCTGCCCACCATCTTGTCCACATCCGAGGGCGCGACCGTGACAATACATGATATGTTTGCCTTTGAGAGGCGAATCTCCTCGTCCTGAACGAGGAACCGTGCTGAGAGGATCCGTACTTCCTTGACATTTAGAATGGTCTCCCTTAGGGTGCCCAACAGGGCCTCTTGATCGTCAGGAAGGAATGAGATGGAGAGGGAGTGGACTGCTAGCTGCACCTCATTGGGGGCAGGACGGAAGCAGAGGTAGGGGTTTTCGCCCACTGGATAGGCTTTATTAAGATGGGAGGAGAGGGCTTCGTAGTATGGTGCGTATGCAGTGGCTGAAGTGTGAGGATCGAGGGCGAAGAGGGTTACTGTGCCATGGTCATTGACTTTTGCTGTAAATGCTTTCAGAAGAGGGCAGTTGGCCTCTTTAAGGACCGTTGCCACGGTGTCGGAGAAGGAAGCCGCTATTTCTCTACTCAGGGCGTGATGAGCAGCGAGGGATCAAGGGGCAAAGAACCTTCTCTCAGAAGCCGGCAGTGGCCTAGGAGCGGGAGGACTGGCCAGCCTGGTGACTGTTTTTGCGACTTGTGCTGCCGAGGGGGCTGAGCCATCTCATTTCTTCTTGGCCCTTGAGGGCCCTGAGGACGCGGCCTCAGAATAGGATACTCTGGTCTTGCCAGGTGGGGGGTCATCTGGGTTGGGGATGCCAGGGAGGAATTTAGCCGGGTCGGGGTATTTGCCGTCCGTCCATTGCTGCGCCTCCCATGTCCAGGGATATTTGGCCGCGTAGGCAGCAGGGTTGTCCCTGTACTTGCCTATCGCTGTGTCATAACTAGAGAGATCGGGGTCATAGAACGCCGGATATCCCAAGGGTAGCACCTCAGGAAGGGTGGGGGCTGTGGTGTTGGTGGCTGGCTCTTTACCCTTTCAGGAAGGCCAATGGAGCGGGGCAGTGGGGGCCAACACAGGTGGTTGGGGTGGAGTAGTGGGGTTTGCCACCAACCTAGTAGACAGATCCCTGATTGATGCTTGGAGGGAGGCCATGGAGTTCGCCGAAATGTTGGTGGTGTTGACCGGGGTGTCATTTGAAGGCAGTGTATTGGCAACTTGGGATGACAGGTCGTGAATTCTCGTATTGAGCTTATCGACGGTTTGGGAGAGGGCGGACATACCGTGCACGAGAGAGGAGACGAGGGGAAGCAGGTAGCATTCACCAGTAGAGAGCTCCAGCACCTCCTGGCGTGAGATGGGGGGTAGGCTTTCGGGGGGCCAGTCTAGCAGGGCTCTCGCAGAGAGGATCAGCCTAGCTAAGTTCTCGCAAATTGGGAGTATTGGGGCAGCCGATAACGGCCGTGAGGGAGGGTGGGAGGCAGCGCCCTGGTTGGAAACAGGCGTGCCGGAACATGAGTGAGTGGAGGGGTCCATTGCCTAGCAAGGAGAGATAGTCCCGGGGCGTAGGCTTGGAGGATTCTTAGGTTCGAGGGGTTTGTTCACCAGATGCAGATGGTGTTGAGAGCAGAAGTAAAACGTAGAGGGAGGGAAAGAAGAGGGCGCGGAGCATGGTTATACAGGAGGTCCCTATACCCACCTATTTATGCAGACACCTCACCCAATCCTAACCCTGTATGACTTATACTTTTAAGTCATTATAACCTATAACTCACAAGTGTGAGTCATGTGAGATCCTCAGCTGACTCACACCAGTCAACTGTACTACATACTTAAACCTATCACGAACCTCATAACAAGAGTCATATAACTCACAACTGTGAGTCATCGCATACAATAAACACCTATGACTTACAAGTAGGAATCATGTGAAAATCTTATCCCTTCTGCCTTGTTACAATCTGGTTTGTGACAGTAGCTCCCCTCCTACTCAAACCCGAGTCCCTTCAGATTTCTATCTCCTTAGTCCAAGGTTGAGAACCTCCTATCCCATTCCTCGAACCACCTTCCTCATCCTTGTGAACTTTTCACAATCCTTGTTGAATTCTTGCCTCACTATTTCTAGTGTGGCGTTAGCTACCTCGATCATTTTTTGATGTATTCTAATCATGTTGAAGTGTTTGGTGATTGTTTTTTTCAGAGGCATATAACTGTTTGCAGAGGTCTGCAATCTGTCAATACAACATATTGACATCTAGTTCCATGGAGGCTTCAGAATTTTTACCCTCTTCCTCCTCTAGCTGCGTTCTCACAGCTAGTTTTGCTATTCTCATTTCCTTCCCCTTCCTCTATGCCTCATGCCATTCCATAACCGGTTTCCTTGTTCCATCTCGCTGGGATTATCCCCTGGCGTCAATTTTCGCCTATTTGTAGTGGCAACATCTGTCCTGGTAACACTGTGTCCATGAAGATCGTCTCTGCCTTACATTTTCTTCAACCAGTTACTGAAATGAAAGATGTCAGTTACGGGCAGACATATACACATATGCAATAAGTTCTTCAATTTGAGAATGCGTAAGGATGGGTGGATGGCCAGGTCTTTTGGTTGGTGTAGCAGGTGAAGTACATGCATACTGAATCTGCCAAATACAGAAGCCAGTTCTCTCTTGAATTTCTCCATATTTCCATCTGATGGAACGGAGAAGCTGGCAATCTCGTCTTTGATCTCGTGCTAGGTCTGGACTCATTGGAGGAGTAGGTATCTTGGTTGATTGAGATATACTATGGAAACTAGAGTTCATAAAAATCTTTTATCCTTACCAAGCCACTATACCCAATTCACTCATTATATCCCTACTAGCTTATCCCCCCTTGCTAGTGCAATACTGTATACAATACTTAGGTGCTATCCCTCCGTATTCTTTCGCCCAGATATAATAAAAATAAACCCCCCTGATTTGGTTGAAGAGCTGGCATGGCGCGGTGCTTGAAAACGCATCAGCCAACGTTTCTCCTCTATCTTAATTTGGTTTGGCTTCAACTCTTATTTTTCTGTCCTCATGATTGCGTTACTCGTACAGTCTTCTGTCCCAGTCAACTTTCTGCCACTTATGATATCGTACTCGTATGTTACAAGTATCACAGGGCACGTTAACTTGCACAAGCGCAGCCCAGTCGACACACCATCCCCCAAAGGAAGCAAATGAATCCCTTCCACCCCCAGTACCCAATACTGTACCCCCAACATACAATTTATCATACCCAAATTAAATTTCGCTTCACTCCAACGAGTTTTACACTTAATATTGAGCCATACACAGCAGCTCAGCATTGATGATATTTTACCATGAAAAAACTTTTCTTTTTCTCCTTCATGACTGATAGAAAATGAACCCTTACAAGACGCCCTTAAACTTAACCAATCCAGTCACCATCCCTTGACTTAAAGACACTGACTACACCAAAAAAAAAGTACCCACTTTTTTCAATTCCGAATGAAAATTGCGAAACCCCCTTAAACCAACCAATGACCCCTTACCGGTAGCTAACATAGGAAAAGAGCCCATAGCCAACCAAATAGCCCGCAGTAAAGATTTTTTTCCACGTCCCCCCCCGCATGGCACTGCGATAAATGAACCCTTCGAAAATCAAAGGCATGAAAATTCGCAGAAGAAAAAAAAAAAGTATTAGAAAAAAGAGAAAAGCAACCTCACCTGTGTACTTCACCCCTATCCCTCTGTTAGATAACAGGAGGGGGGAAGAAAAACAGGTGATTGGTATAAAGAGTAGAAAGACAAAGAGACCCAGAGCCCAGTAGTAATACACAGATCCTTGCGGTTCGAATTGTAGGTAGGTAGTGGCAACAGTTAATCCGCAGGCCCAACAGTGCTCAACTGATGTCTGGCAGTCTTAACTCTCTCTCTGACGTCCAGCTCGGAATCCTGAGACATGCTTTCTAAGCTCTTATCAAACCCTAGCCTAATTAGCTCCCTAGCTCGAGCGTGAACCTCTTCGATATCTTCATGTTCTTCGCGCCAGGTGAGATTGATGACAACCCATGCAAGACCGGTTCTAACATGAGGAAGTCGGTGATTCCAAAGGGCACATAGAGTCCTTAGTAGATCCACGCGCTGGATCAGGGCCCTCTTGTGAGGAAGCGAACCTGTGGCAAGGTGAACAAGGATATAGACAACGGAAGTCACAATTTCCCCAGGCGGAGATTCAGAGATCAGCTCCCCTCTTTTCACATATCGCTTCTGCTTAAGTTTGTCCTCCAAAATCTCAAACACCCGATCTTTCCCCACGCTCTCGAAAAGGTGATCGATCATGAGATTCCGATCCTTGCCTCCAATCCAGTTCCGTAAGAAGTCTAGGCCCTGTTCCTGCAAAGCGATGTCCTCCTTCCTCCTTCTCAAAGAGTCATCTCTCTCTCTCCTCTCTAGCTGCGCCATTACAGCAGTTGCCTTTGGGGGGAACCTTCTTGCCCATGACCTGATCCTCTCTTCTGGCGCATCAAAATATTCCTCGTCACCAGTTCGTCCAGCGCTCATTCTCCTGAGATCGCCGATACTATCCTCCATACCGCCTTCCGTATCGTCCCCATCGCCATCTTCACTCTCCGCCATCTCGTCATCCTCGCCATCTTCATCCCCGTACACATCTCGACGGATAACCCCGAGGAGCCAGTCTACTCCTAGCCCCTCAAAGCATTTCCTCTTTACGTCGGTCTCGGCCTCCAGAACCAAATGCTTCAAAGCCCAGAGTGCATTTAACCTTAGCGCAGCATTTTCGCTCTTCGCATGTGAGCAGAGGACATCAAGAACTCCGGCCTCTAGTATCGGTCTTCGCATTGGAGAGAAGTGCAAAACAAGGTTGCAAACAGCTGCGGTCGAAGCTATACGTACCTCGATATCGTCGTGGCGAAGGAGAGCAAACAAAGGTAGAGCGATTCCAGCGTCAATCAGGGAGGTTCTTAAAATGGAGACAGAGCGGGATAATGCCCTAATAGCGCCGCATGCGGCGGTGAGCACAGCTGGAGGGTTTCCTTGCCCGACTGTGTTTTTCTGGGGCGCGGGTGTTGAGATGGGTTCGAGTGGTTTCATTGAAGACACTAGGACCGGGACCACCCCTGTTTCAATGATTGCCTTCCGATAATCATCTTTGAATAATGCAAGGCTTGTGAGACATCTCAACCCTCCTTCTTTAACCTTCATCTTATGGGCAATCTCAAGACTACTTCCTAGCTCCGCTGTGTGGTTGGAGTCATGGGAATTTCCGTTTTGGTGACCGTTCATTGTAGGTGATGGTAACTCGTTAGCCCTTTTCAACATCGCAGCCAGTTTCTTGATTGCTCCAGCATCCACAGCAGCCTTTTGCATTTCAGCGCGGTCCATTACCAACCTTGCCAGGATCGCGGGTGCCTTTTCCCTAATGGTCCAGCTGGTCCATGTCTCTGCATCAACGCTACCAACTCCTGCATTCACCCGATTCTCTCTACCCTCCTCAGTCAAAAGTCTGACAAGAACCGGCAAAACCAGCAATATCAGCAATTGTACAAGCTTCTTGCTCACAAGCTCCACTTTGAACAAATTGGTCAAAACACTTATTGCCATCAACCTCGTAATGGAGTCCCCAGAACGGACTTGTGATATTAGCCACGGTAAAATGGGGGACTCCTCAACCTCGAGATCGAGATCGACTTCGGAACGGTTAGGCCCGTCCTCAGTTGCAGTCAGCGCGGCCGAACGAAGTATGCGATCCTCTAGATCAGCAATCTCTGCCCCCCGACGCAGAGGAGCATCACCACCAGTGGAAGATTCAGAATCATCTCCAGCATGACCGCCGCCAAGAAGCGCGGCATGGGACTCCGTGGCTCCTGTCAGGGGGTTATAGAAAGGACTCGATGCCGGAAGGTTACTGCTACCATGCATGGAGCCCTCCATTACGTGACTTGAAGTGGTTGGCGAGATCGTAGATGCTGCTGAGAGCGGGGGAAAAGCAGCCGGTGTTATAAGCAGATTCGGGGGCTGTATTATCGAGTTGCTCGCTAACTTAGGTTGAGGTAAGTTTATTGAGGAAGTTGAGCCTACTGTTCCCTCGCCTGGTTTGTTAGACGAAGACGGGGCATCGGGTGAAGAGGGTTCATTGGTAGGAAGAGGAAAGATTGCTATGATTGGCGGGGAGAAGAGGAACTCCAAAGAGCGAAGCCTAGAATCCTTGATAATAACAGAAATGGCGTCAAGAATCGGAGCCAATTTTGCGCCCAGAGGAGCGGGGGGAGGCACATCATTGCTATGAGCATTTTTAGGGTTTTTGGGAATAGATTTCTCGGCCACGATATGGCCTCCCAATCTGGCGCTCAGGGCTCCAAGAACCCCAGCATCCACAAGTAACTTTTGATGGGTTGAATGCCATCCGCTATTATCTGAACTGCCGGGAGCATACCGGCCACACGATTTAGCAATAAGGGATGCTGTGAGCGAAATCTGCTGTTGGACTAGAGCAGCAAGAGATTGTTGCGAAAGGATTTTGTAGATATTTTTCAGAACCTCGGGGGTATAAAGAGCCGTAGCAATTGCATACGAGGGACACGTCGCGGAAAATGCTGAGGTGTCTAGAATGGTATTCAACGTGCGAAGGGACGACAGAACAAGTTTCGGTGGAGATGAGGAAGGATCCAGAGAAGCTATTAGCGGAGGCAAAGCCTGCGAATCGAACAAATGCGAAATATAGTTTTCACCGCCTACATGACACCACTCAGGGATTAGTGATATTCCCCGAAAAGGTAAAACAGCCACGGATATCCGGACCATCTGAATGTGTATCTTAAAGGGGTGATACCATAAGCCAGGCTCCCAACCGCAATTCCAGCTTCCAATCTGGCACTGCTCCAAACATCATCCGCAGCGCCAGTACCCTCCAGAATCCTAACAAGGGGGGGCACAATTCCTAGGCGTACAAACAATTCTTTCTTCTGCTCATGGCCGATCAGCTCATGTTTGAGTCGTTTGAGTGCAGAAAGTGTATTCTGTGGTTGACTAAACGGCGACCCCGACAACTGTGATAAAAGTGCCAAAGCGGTAGACTCCTCCTCGGAATGGGTCATGATGGCGTTAAGTGAATCCGTTTCGCTGAGATCTCAAAGGGTGGTCGAAGGGCAGTCGCAGCCACAGCCTTGGCAAAGGGGCCGTATGCGGTCAAGGAGCGCGGCGGTTAAAGTTTAGAGGAAAGATTGACGAAGTATGCGTGGCCACCAACAGTTGGAGGGGCTCAGGCCAGACGGGGGTCGATGGATGAATGGATGAAGGGGGGGGTGACTACTGAGGCGGGGGTGGTTGCTATGAGAAAGAACTATGGCGGGACCAGGGGAATTTCGTTGGTCAGTGATGTTGATGATAAAGTGATGATGATGATGGTTGACGAGGACTAGGCGGAGATGTATGATAAGCTCTTGGGGGGCACGCCGCACACGCACGCACAGGAAAGCTTTCTACGGAGGTCGGGGTATGGGGCTCGGGGGACAGGGTTTGGGAAGAATGATCCAGGCTTCGGTGTGGATGGATGATCTGGAGGCATAACAACCCTGCGCCTTCTGCCGTGCTTCCAATCTCGCAGTAACAGCGCACCCTTCATCCCCAAGCCATTTTCACTTCTCAACCCGAAAACAGTTAGCGGTCCGCACCGTCGACCCATCTCTCGCCCAACGAACCCGACACCCATAGTCTACTTGTACAGTACTCACACAGACGGACTCGTATTTGTGCACCGTAAATTAACTATGAGTTGAGACATGATAGCTGGCAGGTACAAAATTTCCGAAATCGAGAATACCTCAAAGTGCCATGTGTGCTGGTCACGTCTAAAGCACCCGTTCCCAAAACCACCGGTACTCCAGTACTAGCTGTTCGGGAACAGCACGGACACAGTACGTTGAATACTGGTTCAAGAGCGGCCAATCGCCTCGGATCGGGATATTTCCCACATCTCTCCCCCATACCTGCCACCGTTGTGATCCGCTCGTTCCACTAACCATCCCGACGGGATTTACAGTGTTACACGTACAAAGACATGATAGCTGTTTGCTGCACTCTCCCACCCCGCGGTCGATCGTGTCCGAAAGCCTTTTATCCCCCCCCGCCTTTCTGTACTGTACTGTACTTGTATTCCCCCTGACCAACCGAAAGTGTTACTGTGCCTGTAATCGAGTATCGGTACTGGCGCTAGTGCTCGAGCACAGTACTTGAGTACTAGTACTAGTACATGGCAGTGACAGCACCGGTATGATACTAGCCTGGTGGGTTTCCTCCAATTCGCGGAGAAATCCGAGAGGCTATTATTGATATGGATATCATAGAAAAGTCCGGTATGTGTACCGGCACCACACTGCACGATACCGCACTCGCTCGAGCGCACTGAATAGTCTGCTACTGCGTCGTGCGGTTTCTGCAAGGTCAAGGTCTCCGGCACTCCTTCTTCATTTCCCCTAGGTAATTCCCTCAAAATCTTTCCTCACTAATGAGTAGCAACGATGGTGAACTGGTGAAAGTGTATATATAATTGCATTGGAACGAAGGAAACTGAATGTACAAATCCATCCCATCTTATCCAAGTCTGCATACCTATCCGTTCCTACCAGTTCCAATCCTTATTATTAGTTGAGCCTCTTCTTCTGTCCCGAGTGCTGTGCCATCTGCTTATTTTTGTTTTTCCCCCTTGATCATTTTCGCCTGACCTCATACATTTTTCTCTGGCCAACCAATCACGCTAGCAATACAGCAACGTGCGGCTCGCAAAAGTTTCGACCGCCGAATTACACTCCAAAAACTCATTGGGACCGCTTCTATCTCTTCTATCTCCCGTTTCGCCCCCCGGATGTCTTCAGTATTACTGTTCGTTCTACCCCTCTGTTTTTCCCCCTAATCTTCTCTCCTCTCTGCGTTAGGTCTCTCTGCTTATACTCCCCCGCACTTCCGCAGCCGCTCCCTCTACCCCGTTACCCCCGGCTTCTACGCCATGAACCCCGCCCCGACTGCCCTTCCAGGCCCCTCTTCCTCGTCCACTACAACTTCTTCGGCGACTATCACCCGCTCCTCCTCAAGCAAATCGCTTTCTCCCGCCGATTTCAAATCGCCCTCCTACCCGCAATATGTCGAATCTCCCTCTCTTGGTGCCTGGTCGCCGAAAGGCGGGCAACCAATTCCAAAGACAACAGGAAACTCACCGTCGACAAATTCGAAACGCCGTTCGTCGAGACCACAGACGCCGAGACCACCATCCTCCTCTTCGTCTCCTTCGGCTTCAAGGATTTCTAGCCACCGCTCCGCTATGAACCCCCCTGCCACTCCAGTGGCTGCCCACTCCACCCCATCTTCCTCATCTGCCCTATCTCCAGCATCCAAAGCGCCCACTACCCCTTCAACCTCCACCGAGCGCCATTCTAAATCCTCATCCCCCCCTAAACGTGCTCGGCATTCAGATCCTTTGGTCAACTATTTACCCTCACTATACCAACACTGTCCCACCCAGGATCTCGTTTACCTGATAAGCGACATGCTCCTTGAATTGGTCGGCTTAAATGACAAAATTCCACTCTCCGGTGCCGGTTTGACTAGATTTCACTCCCGGTACAGTTTGACTTTCTTGAACTTTCTACGAAAACCTCTCGCTGATTCGCGTACGTGATAGAGCGCCCCCGACTATCTCAATTCCCGATTACCTCTCTCGTTTAGCCCTCCACGCCTCACTCCAGCCATCAATCCTTCTGTCAATGGTTTACTACATTGATATACTCTCAACACATTATCCCCCGTTTGTTGTCTCCTCACTAACGGTCCATCGGTTTCTCATCACAGCTGCGACAGTAGCGACCAAGGGGCTCTGCGACTCATTTTTGACCAATGGATTCTACGCCAAGGTTGGGGGTGTCAGCCTAATGGAACTTAATTTGTTAGAGTTGGAATTTCTGGTCAGGGTGGGGTGGAGGATTGTCCCGAAGGGAGAGGTTCTGGATGAGTACTATCGAAGCCTAGTTGGCAGGTGCCAATCGAGATACGCAATCTCGGTAACCACGGTTGGCGGCCATGAAGAAAGTGACACTCCTCCTGGACCAAGCTCCAGCTCAACAGCCTCTGAGCCTAGGCAGGACGCCTCATCTTCAGTAGGCGAGGGGGGTGAGGCGGGCAGGTGACAACGTATGCATAAAGCAGGGTTTCCTTGGCCAAAAACAAGGCACTGTTTTTACGTCCCTTGGGCTATTCTTATCATTACTATATTGTGTGGCTCAGTCCATTTCTTTTTGTTCAGACTCAGGAGTTCATGTTTGGGAAAGGGGCATCAGATGTTTGGGGATCTGGAATCGTCTCCGGATTAGAGTAGCGCGATTGGAGATGTTGGTGATGGTAATGGATTTCATTAATTCGTCCCCTAACTTACCAGAGTAAGGCACCGCTAAACGCACGATGCAACGCTCACACGGGATATATGTGATTTTCCTCCTTTATTTTTTACAACGGTTGCTCTGCAACCCCCCACCGCACTTAGGCAAGACAAGACAAGACACTAATCACGAATGGTCACTCGTTAGCGGTATGCAAAAACGGTCCTCCACCAACACCGGTACCCCGCAGCAAGCAAAAAAAAAAAGAGATCCGTAAGGGTTCAAGCCATCCTCATCCCATCTTATATGAATGCCAAGAAAACAGAACCACCGCATCACATCGCATACGACAGCAACGGGACGAGACCATCCGCGAATTTACCAACCCGCTCGTAAAGGGGTAGCGTTTGCGAACACAACTGCTATTGCACCCAGGTCCAAGCACAAAAGCCAAAATTTGGCGGCAATAGCGACCGCGCTCACAAAAGCCAACCCACTAAGAGTACCTGCCCACCCATAGTAGGTGCGCGCGATGTGATACAATACGATATGCCTAAATCCATCTCCATACTTGTATCATACCACAGCAGCTAGTTTTTCTGCGGTGCTTCGCGTGCGTACCGGTATACTCTCCGTTGTCTATTCCTTATACTATATGATTAGTAAGTTAGTACGGTGTCATAATATTATAATACATACGTACTCGTGTGTGTGGTGTGAACGCCGACTCTAGGGTATCCTGGATAGCCTGCTTCGCCAGGGTCGTTCATGAGTTTGCACTCGGTGCTTAGCGGCCAATCGTTTGGGAACGTGGCGTCGCGATAGAAGGGGGCGAGTACCGGTACGCTGTTATGAGCCATACATAGTCGAGGCGCGCGCGCACAGAAATTGAGGTTTTCTCCGTGGAGTAGGGAAGGGGATCGCTGATTGGTGCGAGATTGATTGATTGTGGGGATGGAAGGATGAATGGAAACATAGGAGTGGTATCGTATGTCTGCATTAGATGCGGGAGGATTGCGTATGGGGTTTCCCCAACTTCTTTTTTTGGCTGGAGAGTGCGGAGACGGGGTTGTGGCTGTTTGGAGTGGTATGTGGGGTACCGGTATGGGTGATGTATTGTTCCCCAATAAGTTATGATATAAGACTGCAGTCTTGGCAGGCACCGCACCGGGCTGCATTCGCACAGTATGATATACTTCCGCCCTGCCGATGGAAATTGATAACGTTATGACACGATATGATATGATAGATGGCTTGTTTCTCTGCTCTGCAGGAGTTGGGTAAAAACATGCTCTCCTTTTCCCCTTCCCCAAACTTTCTAACTTTTTTCCTATGATATGATATGATAGTAAGGTTAGGGCTTGGCTTTGCTGCGCTGCAGGAATTAAGGTTAGGGGGGATACCCTCCTTTTCACTCCTCCAAGCTCTCTGGACATGAATAACCTAACCTTTTCCCCGGTACCTTTGGCTCGAGCTGGTTAAGCTGGTTGAGCAAATTATGCCTCCGCTTCGTATATGTAGTGTTTGCCTGTGATCCCGTAACGTATGATACAGGATCCTCCAAGAAGTTATGGAACAGTTATTTCAGGGTAAACAGCCAAACATATCCCTGTCCATTCCGGTTAATGGGTTTCTGCCCTTGTATCACAACAACCCATCCCCTCTTCCGAGTCCCCGTACTTGACGGGCGGGCAGACACGGTGGTAATGCCGACGAACACATTACTCGAGTACTCGAGTACCATAGCGGTAAGGGGGCACCCCATCCATCGATTCGCATAAAAGTCCTTGCCTTGCGGCAATTGGGACTATGCGTGCTGTACGTACCATTGGAGCTGGAGCTAATAAAGGGGTCTTCGAGGGAACCACAACGGGTTGGGAAGGGCTCTCGGGCACGATATGGATACGGAATCGTATCGTGTTGCGGTAGATTCTCCCGTTGTGAGAAAGGCTCATAGGGGTGATGGTTTCGTTCGTTCGTCAGGTTTGGTTTGGTTTGGGAGCTCGGGGTGATAACGAGATGACCGACTCACCGGTACCGTAACCACTCAGTATGGATACCGTTGCCAAGGGGGTGGAGTCCCAAATTGGCAACGTTACAGGCCCCGGCATGAAGAACCAGAACATTTGAGTCTGAATCTAGTATGGGCGCTGCCCCCCTATGTCCGGGTTCTACGTTCCGGGGACTTGTACTCGAGTATATAAGGAGGAAATTGGAGAAAAACATTAAAGCAAACTGGATATCAAACCTGATTGCTCTTGCTAATTGGCCAGCGAGCGGCATATTCCCGAGGGCAACCCCCTTGGCAACGGCGTCTACAGCACTCGTACTAGTACGAGTACATACCGAGGGTCTGCGGTAGTTTTTTTTTTTTTTTCCTTTTTCGTGGCAGAGGCCACACGCCCGTCTGTCATGCACACTCGCATCCACAAAGTTCTCATACTTGTAGCATATCAGGCACCATACTCCATCAACTCCAGCCGCCCTAGATAGCAAGACAAGGACTACTCTCTTCCGAGAAATCATTTTCAATCTGGCAACGGCGAATTCCACAGAGGATATTCATCTTGCTCCCCAAGTAAATAGCTCCTGCAATCTCTCCCGGTCCAAGACTGCCAAGACTTTGCGATCTATCAGACGTTATGTTAATCAATATAATTTTACCCTAACTAGTACCAGTCCGACGTTATGAGAGCTTTGTGGATGTGAGTGCGCTCTCATTTGGAGTGTGCTTACCAAATCGGAATCGATGCTTTGGCGAGATACGGTTGCGGATGTGGTCTTGCAACTTTCCCTGCCTGCGGAGAAGCACGTACTAGTACTTGTACTTGTACGGTACCATACAAGGAGGACACCAGGTTGATAGGTCGATCTCCTGGGTTTACGCATGGGGTAAGTAAACTTAACGGTGTTCTGGTATGACAGCCCCGGCCGGGGAAACCGTCACTTCTAGTTTGTGATGTTCTACCGGTACTTCTCTAGGTAAGCTGTACAGTACCGGTAATTCGAGGACTTTGAAGATTGCCGCGAGCCTGGAGCACTTAGTCTATTGTCTCATAGACGGGCGAGACACGGAAAATTTCGCGCCGTCCCTGTCGGCACAATACCGGTAACAAACAACTTTTCATTAACGACCGGTCAAGTGCCGGAAAAAAACCCTTTCTATTTGCTATCTCCGTAGATCTCCAATATCCCTGTAGATCGCACACATCAGCCTACGATAGGGTTAGTTTGGCAAGTTAAGGGAATTGCGAAACCGGTTATTGAGATCCAACCCAACCAAAGGACTCGGGCCATACCATGTTAGGAAAGCACTGATCCTTCCCAAGAATTTTTGACCCTGCGTCGCGGGATTAGTGGGCAAACGGGGATAGCGGATCGCGAGAGTTGATACTGGAATTTTGTTTTATTAGATACGGCAGAGAAGTAAAAGTACTTGTACCGCCCAAAGGATATGTACTGTACAGTACTCGAGTACTCGAGCAGACTCCAGACCAGAACTAATATGAGATACGGTACATGGCCACACCCACGCTTGTAATCACTGAGATCTTCAACGGAGAAGCCTGGCGGGTGACGAGAAGAACAGGGATCGGTAACAGGCATTTTGTCCCCCGCTACCCCGACGAACCCACCTTCTTTGCCCGCCAGATGCCCCCTGTTCGTCACATGTGTTCCGGAAAGCCGACAGGGATGGCGCGAAACCCTCAGCAGCACCTTTCTGGTCTCTGAGATAGGATGAGCATAAGTGAGGCGATTTTAGCCCTCATAGTCTTCACCGCCAGTGACGGGCTGGGATTCCGAGCAGTAAACGTTCCGCTGTCGGCACGCTACTTTGACGAGTTCGTCTCATACCCAAGTTGCGCATAAGATATCTTGTTCACCGTCCGCTCATTTTTGTTCACAAACGTCGGAAAATTACGAGTATGATATGATAGGAGAATTTCGGGCGCGGCCCCCCCCAAGTCCCTAAGCCCTCGACCAGCATGTTAACCACCACTTCTCCTTCCAGAAGAGCACCCCGATCTTTACTAGTGATACTGCCCAAAATACGGCGAGTACGAGTAGTGACCGGGTGAGGGCCTTTTTTTTTTCCCTTGAAAGGTTGGGAAGGGTCAGGCGAACCCGCTACAGTACCCCCGCTGTAACGGTTTCACCCCTTATCGGCCTAAGCGGTGTGCGAACCAATCACATCCCCTTCGCCCCGCTTTCCCCCTCAACCCCAGACACAATTGGACCAAAGTGACAGCTATGATACCCCGCCAAAGACATTTCTCCGGTGTGGTATTGTGCGGGCTCGCACGGTTAGACAAGTTAGCCTAAAATGTCACCCAGGGGGTTACAAATGCTGTCATTCAGTGATACGGATTCCATCCCGTATGATATCATTGGCGAAATTACCTTGAGGCAAAGGTACAAGGGTCAGGGGTAAAATAGTGGTACCGCACTTGTATCGTACAAGTATGGTGCATGACTAATTCTCTAAAGTTGACCGAGGCAAGAAAAAGTCGAGATCCTCTGCTTCATTGGTATCACCCCGCTTATAAAATTTTAGTCTGCTCGAGCACCGGTACTCGCGCGGCCGAGTTGGAGCCGCACACCTAAAACTATGATAGTAGTGATAGTTAGGCTAATGGGGGAGGAGGAGTTAGGGTGGTTGGGCTTCGCCTAATCACAGCTTGCCTCCCCTTTGGAACCGCCTTTGTTAGTTGGGTTTTGTACCGTACTCGAGCAGGTTGGGGTTACCATAATACGGTAGTAGAAAGTGGCCAGAAAAAAAAGTGAAATCCACCGACATCAAGCATCACACACTATCATATCATACCACTGGATCCGGTCAGTCCTCCTGTAACGGGTTAGGGCTCCCGCAATGGTAGGAGGTGGCTAAGAAGAAAAAGGTATGATATGATGAAACCCACTGACACCAACTATCACTCACACTATGATACCTCTGCACCTGATCAGCTCTTTTAGTCATGAATGAGTGTACTCCTGAAACAGTGGAAGGTTGTTAAAAGGAAAAGTGGAATCCGTAGAGAATATCGCTTTGCGCACATTTCATTCGCCCACTCATGACTTTCTTCGGCATTCCTTGTTTACTTTATGCAGGACTATAGTACTGGGTTCACCAGCCTTTTCAGTTAGGTGAGATCCGCGATCGAAAGAGCAATCCGCCATTCAACGAACTCCTGTTTGACCACAACTACTCTTACCCCTGACTGTCCTGTAACATGCCACTAACACATTCTGGAATAGGCGGCTCATGAATTCGGCAGCCGAGGAATATTGGGGAAGCCTCGTATGCACGCAATGCTCCGGCTCCAGAGCATACTGGATCCAGTACTTCATCCATACCATCACGCCAATTCCTATTGGCGGGGCGATCATTACTCGAGTAACTTGCTGGCTGCGGCGTATGGAGTACAGTACCGCCAACCATGGCCGAAGTCAACGCCGACACCCCGCTCCGCGCTCGGCTACGGACGTGGGCGATCACACAGTTCCGGTAATAGAGATTCCGAAGTCCTGAGCTTGTTGCCCCCGCAGGAAACAAAAGAATGAGCCCGGCATGGAAAAATTGCTCAAACAAGCGGGGAGTTTTAGTACCTCTACTCGAGTGCTCGAGTACAGTAATCCCTCGCTGTCCGATCATCTCCACTTCCGTGCCCCATCACAAGTGCGGGAAAGTTTGCTGTGCCGTGGTTGGGGGGTTGGGTTAGGCAGACCCGCAGAATAATCCCTGTCATGCACTCTTCACCCCCGACCCTTGTCTCAGATTTTTGGTAAAATACCGGTAGTCTAGATCCGACTGTGGCTATGCTGGGTGGGGGATTTGGGCTCAAAGGATCCCCAGTCCGTTATGGTGGGGGAAGCCTTAAACAGGAGCACCAGAGACAATTATTTGCTTAATAATACGTGTTAGTGTGCGCTCCTACCCGTATGTGGTTTTCTCTCTTGGCGGAATTCGCTTCTCCTCCTTGGCTATTTTACGAGTAATAGTTAAAGTTAACCACCGGGTGCAACATTTGAACCCAGTACCGTAGGATACTGTACCCCATAAGCTGTCGAGATACAGTAATCCTCTGTCTGCGAAGCAGGGGTTTAATATCCGAACTCAGAGGCAAAAAGGCCCCTAGAAGCGTTAGCTCACACGGTAAAGCGTGAGAGTGCCGAGTGTACTCGTACAAGTACTAGATCTTATTAACTGGTACCGGTATGTTATTCGCGATTCTAGTAACCTTGCAAACCATCGTGGATCAACCAGAGATTAGCCCCCGCTCCGGAGATATAGTGAATTCTACATCGTGCTGTACAGTACTCGTACTCATACACCTAACTTTAAATCCCTGTGGCTCTCTCAAAAGTTAATATTTCTACGTTTATAGACCGTGGGAACCCCCAGCGAGGCGCGCCGAGACTTGGCTACGATACAAAAGCTCCTTGATTTTAACCACAGTAGCAAGCCAAGCCATGCCGCGCCTCGCTGAGGGTTCCCACGGTCTACAATGGCTTTATATTTGCTAAACCTCCTGCTCGTTGTCTAATGGAGAATAGAGAAAATACTATTTATTCGGGAGCCTCAGCAGTTTTAAGTTGGGCACCATTTCAGGGCCGAAATGCTCCGGTTAAAGAATTCCCCACCATTTATGATATTTTGATGCGCGGTACCGCATCAACTGCTCAAATTCTGCCCGCCTCTGGCAAGGACTTGCTTCTGATAAGCTTAGATTCTCCTATCTACTGGTATGGCAATACCAGTGCCGGTACCATTACCAACTTTGTACTCGAGTACTTTGTTACAGTTCTTTGCCTGCCGTACCCGCTAAAATGGGATCGCAACTCTGGCTGTGAGGCAGCTACTCACCATTATGATACCTCGATCTGGACTGCGTGAAGGGATAAATTGTGCATACTTTATCGGAGGCCGGGTGCGCGAAATCACCATAAAAGCCCTTATAATCCACTATCAGCCGGTTAGCCCATGATACCGTAGGCTTTAGTTTAATGCCGGTAGGTTAAGATAATTGCGAATTCCGGTTGATGAGATCCAACATATCTGGTGGGCTGATCCTATCATGTCGAGAAAACGCTAATCCCCCTCCAGGGATCCTGTCTCAGGATCCGGAGATTATAGACCCCGCGGGGATAATGGGTCATAAGAGTTTTTCCGGCACTGTGCTCGAGTACCGGTACTTGACGTTTTTTAAAGCCTCCGGGGTGGGGGATGAATGAGTGATCCTTAATGTGGTATTATTGATGGCTCCGCAGCCTCAAATTCCGCTGGAACTACCGCAGCTTGGGCCACGGACACGTAACTCATGTCCCGGAGACTTTAAAAAAAGTCGAGTGCCCGCGCGCGGCCGGATTGAAGCTGGACTGGCAACTCCAATAATTATCGTACAGGGTATCTAGCTTAAGCTCGGCGGCGCGAGTGTGGGTGTGGCAGGACAATGTCGGGCATGGCAAATCTTGATTGCGGCCACCAAGAGTGAGCCCTGTCTGCCCGCTCACTTCCGGTACCGGTAGTTCACTTACCGGTAGTTCTTATACTCGGGTACTCATCGAGACGCGGTATGGCCCTCTCATTGTCCTGTCATACACTGTGCGAGTACTTGTATCCAGCAATTAGTGTCTGGAAATACCGCTAGTGTTACACAACCACCCTACCAGCAGGAACAATGGTGTCTCATTTTCAGACACTCCATGGATGCCGGACACGAGTATGGTGGATTTGAGGGTTTTCGTAGACAGACCTAGATGGTGTTAACACAATTTAACCACAAGGCTCGGCCACCTGGACCTGGAATTGAGGGCCTAAACGCCAACTCCCACCATAATTTAGTGCCTTCGTTAGGGTATGATTTCATACCTGTGCTCCTTGAGTATGATATAATTTAACTAGAGTGATTAAAAGATATTTGGGGATTGGCCACGGCAAGAACTGTTGAAAGGGCAGAATTTATGAAGCGCGATATTTGTCGGGGGTTTCATGGCTGATGGGCTCTTGATGCGAGTGACAACTTCTGGCGATAGTATTGGTAACTCCCACCTAGATTAGATTTTGTATCATAAACCTGTTGTGTTTCTCGCATACTCAGGAATGGTCATAAGGAGCAGAGCAAAGGATTTCATAGCAAGATCCTATGGGGTAGTGAGTAGCTAGTCAATACTGGTGGAAAGAAAATAAGGTCTAGCTGACATGAGCAACCTGGAGTGGATACCTGGTGAATTATTATATGCTTCGGTAGTGTAAGGTAAGAATCGTGAAATTGGATTCAGCACAGACCAGTCCCATAGGGATTGCCTGTGGCCCCAAGTGGCCCTTCAGAATCTCCAATTCTCATCTCTGGAGTAGGAAAGTGAGCAGCAATGCAAAACTGGTCTGGGTTTCTGACTTCTACAATGCTATTTTTCTTCTTCTTCTTTTTTTTTTTTTGATGATGTTTATGGATCAATCATATTACTCCCTGCTTTGTCACCACAAGTTTACCGCCCTTTATCACCATGTCCGAGTACCGGTATGCCGTTGTTCTATTACCGTAATTTGAAATAACAAACAATTACTTATATCACGTGACATCACAGCTTGGCGGTCGTTTACTGAAGTTGTGGTACAGTACCGGTTAGAGTGGTTCTTAACATTATGACATCACTGCATTCGCGGCATCTAAAGCCCCTCAGCACCAACTACTAGACTAGACCTTCGAGCAACAGCGAAGATACCAGTAATCAACCTACGATGCTAAGGGCAATCACCCCCGCTCTCCTCGCTGCCTTATCACTTAACCCCGGTACCTCGACCGTGAAATATCACGGAGGTGGCGGGTTTGCATCTACGTTTAAGATTGAAACGGAGACTGAGGATGGGAGGAAGGAGACGGTCTTTGTGAAAACGGGCACTGGCAAGGATGCGGAGATCATGTTCCGAGGTCTGCTGTTATAGAAGTCCCGTTATCACATTGATGTTTTGTGAATTGTGCTAATCAGTTATGCATTACTATAGGGGAGTATGAATCACTGAATGCGATACAGGAGGCTGTGCCAACTTTATGTCCCAAGGCATTCTCACATGGGCCACTTGGTGAAGGTTCGGAACGATTTTATCTAGCTACCGATTTCTTGGACCTCCTACCCTCAAGGTCTTCCAAGGGCGAATCACTAGCTTCTAAGATTGCAAGACTCCATAGTGCGCCTGTCCCAGAAAAGTATTCGGGGAAGTTTGGTTTCCCTGTTCCTACTTGCTGTGGCTCTACGGTTCAGGATAACACCTGGGAGGACACCTGGGCTGATTTCTTTGGGAAGCGGCGCCTTATGATGATACTGGAAGAGAGCGAACGTAAGAACGGATCTGATTCAGAATTGAGGCGGTATGTCCAGAAGGCGGTGGAAATAGTTGTCCCAAGGTTATTGGGCAACTTGAAAGACGTCAAGCCTTCACTTGTACATGGGGACTTGTGGAGCGGGAACGCCTCTAGAGGGATTATTGGAGAAACACGGGATGATGGCACGATTGAGGAAGTCGTTTACGATCCTTCGGTGAGTTATTCACGCATACCTTTGGAGCGCAATCACCTGAAACGATATTTATTTATGGCGTTGGCAAGGCGTGTTATACTCACAATGAGTACGAAATGGGCATCATGAGGTTGTTTGGTGGGTTCGGAAATGCCTTCTTCAACGAGTATCATAGGGTTATTCCAAAATCCGAACCAGTAGAAGAATACGAGGATCGTCTGAAGTTGTATCAATTGTGAGTATAGCAGATGAATTTTCGCGCCTTTGCGCTTTAGTACTCATCTCTCAGGCTCGGTAATGCTGTAATTTCACTGACATGTGACCTGGATCTTTACTCAGGTACCATCAGCTGAACCATCATGCCTTGTTCGGTGGAGGTTATAGGGGCGGGGCGGTGTCTATCATGAAAAGTCTCCTCCAAAAATATGCAGAAAATAAGTAGACGGGGGGTCAGCGGGTCAGCGGGAGGACATGTGGTGGTCTATTCGACGCGGTCGAGATGTAGTTCCGCCGCTTCATTTATGATATTAGAAATCTATAAAACCCTACCGTGTCCACCCTGACCAATGGATAGTAGCTTGGCAATATTTCGAGTCACAAACTCTGCCGGATGATGCTCGGATTAGGATCTTACGTTAATCATTTTTCCGGGCCTCCGAACTTGAACTCGGCGAGTACCAATGATAAGGAATAGAACTCCTATGTGATGGTAGATAACAACGATGAAGCTACCTGGCCAAGCTATATTTTGGCTGACCTTAGCTACAAGTAACGAATGCAGCACCAATAACAGACTCGCCCTAGGCCTGGGGGAGCCACTATTGCCTGATCGTTCGGTTAGCGCTCAACTGTGCTCGTAATGACCGGTCTCAAATGGTCGCGAATCGAGAAGCTAATATCCTTTTAGTAGGAACCTTGGTATTGGTAACAAGGCAAGCGTGAGCATACCGTACCGCACAGTAAGTCAAGTTGTACCTTCCAGCTCCATTTTTCGGGTGAGAAAAGTGCCTGAGACAGAGTGTGCTAGCCAGTAGATCCTCTCGGTAAGCAAGGTAAATCCAAAATTCACCTTTGCGGTTATTTCTCCATAGGTTTTATTTCAGGTGAAAAAACACCATAAGCGGGAATATTTTTCATCCTAAGCCTTATGGCTGGCCTGGCCTGGCCATCCTTTGTAGTGTTTGATCTTTGACAGCGTTACTAATTACTCAGCTCGACCATGTGAACTGGTTTTCTTGGCAAAACGAAAGTGACTGCGGACTGAGGCGAAGTCACTCGGCCACTGATGGCTGAGCTTGGTGTATTCTCGTCCAGCGCTGATAACTTAGGTGTTCCACAATAAGAGCCGGGTTTGCTGCTTGACCGTGTGCATTACTATATGGTGCTCTGGATTGTCTCTTGGCCAATAAAACACTTTTGGATATTTTTATTGTGGACCACAAGAACCGAATTCGGCTATTGATTAGCGGGTACTTCCTCCCTCCCGTGTGGCTTTGAAACGAGTGAGTCCCCAGTGTCGAGTTTCCAAAAGCTAAATAAACCTTATCGCCCGAACGAGAGAAGAAGAAAAAGAAAAGAAAGCTAATACCGGTGCATGAAGATGAAAGCCGTTCGGCATTCCTCTAGAAGGGATAACTCATTAGCCAATTAGGTGTATTTTTTAGGGGACGATGACTTCTTTTTTATTTTTTTGGTTATCCTTCTACCTGTACCATGGGTTTGTGTTTTTTGGTTTGGGACTTAAGCTGACAGCCCTACCGACCCAACGAGCATACTGTGTGATACACAGGCTTGTCTTAGGAGCTATGTGGTTTAGCAGGAGGGAGGTGTGGGGGGGGGGGCGTCGAGCTAGCCTCAGCATTATCAGACGTCCAGACCATTTGTGATTTGGCATGCGGCTTCTATTTCCAAACGATATCAGGTGTTGAGGCGACGATGGTGGTAATGTTGCTAGAGGGCACTTGTTGTTTCAATAGGCCCAGGTTTGTTTCTCTCGTGAGTTTAGATGATGGCTTGGTTTGACCCTCACCTCATCTCACTCGATGGAGGGACCGATAGACTGAATACTTAATGAGTCCTATGGGCCGGCCCGTTTGAGGATATTGAAACTGGAAGGCCAGAACAGACCCAGACATTCAGTATCATATCATAGATTTGCGCTTCTGATTATACCCACTATCATTACCACCATTGCTCTTGCTACACTTTCTATCGAGTTGGCTCTGTGAAGCTACTTATACGTCCTTTGAACTTCCATTCTGGGGTTTTAGTTTCGGCACAGAATCAATGGTGAGCTTCCCTTTACTCTCAGCACGGGGGAATTTGCGCAGGCCGCTTGTAGCTTGTCGGGCATCTCTACGTGAAGATATGTTACTGCATGTCAATCACAATTGGCCAATCCGCCATATGCTATGTCCGGAAATACTCTACAGATACCAGAAACGCGACTCATCTCGCCTTGAGTCCTCCAAAGCAACTGCCAGCATTGCCTATAGAAATAAAGTTTTCAAGAATCGATGCTAACCTATTACCATAAAGTCTACTTTCTCAAACCTCGTGGTCGAGCTCCAACTCGAGATTATCCAATACCTCTCCCCAAAAGACTTGGCACAACTGTGTTGCACCTCTCAAGGCTTTTATGTCTCTGCTCGTCAAGCCCTATATAGGAGCACTGAAGGTGACTTCAACGCCGTCCGACGTCTAGGGATCGAGCATATCCGGAGAATGTCGGAGGAGACGCTCTCGATGGTGACGACGCTAGCACTCAACTACAACCTAGGCGTCATGGACGCCAAGGAGATGTTACAGAAGTGCTCCCGGGTAGAATATCTGGACATTAGTGAATTTTTGAAGAACCACGAGATTGCTAGGCCGGGTTCCGGTGGTGAGTTTTTTATCATCCCGTTGGGCTTCAAGTTTCAATGGGGGTATTTCGACTTTGACTAATAGTCTAGGGCAAGACATGTCTCCATTTGAAGATAGGAACCCCAGTGAGGTGCTTGAGTACCTGACAAAATCCTGTCGGGAGTCTTTCGGTCGTCTAAAGGTGGTAAGAATTAACCCAGCCCCTAGGAACGTGCTTAAACACCTTCTTGGACATCTGGACTCGGTCGAGCATGTCAAAATCTGCTACCACTACTTGATGCGCTATGCCGTCCCTGGGAATCTTTTCGAAATAATCTCAAAGACACTGGGCAGCAAGCTCAAATTCTTAACACTGGAGCTTCCACCCTTTGGTCATGGTTTTTCCGATTTGCAACTGCTGGGCTCCAGAGAGCACTTCCCTCAACTACAATCGGTATCCTGGCCACTAGACTCCCCAGACGACTGGCAAGACCTCCGGGGAGTGGCCCAATTATTGTCCACCTCTCACTGGAAATTCCACAATTCCGGGACCAGGGGACCCATCCTCCACGCCGAGAGTCTCCAAAATTATGAAGCGGTACCAGAAGGCTTAGCACACTACATCCTCATCCTAGACTCCTTCGCCAATGGCCGCCCAACAACCATAGATGTAAACTGGGCAATTGGCTTCTCCGGCCCAGCAGACCCGCAACAACGTCTTCAAGACATAACCCGCGTAAAGTCCCTCCTGGCAGACCAGCTCTCGACATACAAGCACAAGCACCTCCTGTACCAATGTGAAGAACCCCCCACTCTTGCGGCAACCAGTAGCACAGACATATTCAACGAGCTAGCAGAAGTCCTCACATCTCTAGAACTCCGCCTCTTCGACAAGAAGTTGTCGCCAGAACAGGCGCCAAACGAAGGCGACATCTCCAGAGCCATAGCAGAAATCCACAGGGCGTGGACAAGCTGGCTCATCGACTTTCTCTCTCGCGCCACGAACTTGTCAATCTTCAAGAACTGGAATTACGGTGCCGCCGTCTTCTCCCACTTCCACCCCGTGCATCTGGAAATTATCCATCTGGCGAGTACACTCCAGACGCTCTGTCAGGACCACAATCTCCGCAGATTAGAACTGAACTTGAGTTCGCTCCCGCATAATGTCCGCGCGAAGCCCAATTTCTATGTCTTCGACCCGCGCGGGTACGAGTACGAGGTGCCGGGCAGGGGGGTGTACGTGCGTAGCGGCCTCTCCTCAGGGGTGGCACAGATGCTCTTCTTGACAGAGGGGGGAGGGGCAATGGGAAAGTTGGAGGTTTTGCACCTCAGCGAGCTTAGAGTCCGGACTAGGATGGACCGGGAGTGGCTTTCCATGCTACCGGTCAAATTGCACGGGTTAAAGGAGTTGAAGGTTGAGGGCAAGTATTACTATTCCAGCGAAGACGAGAAGAAAGGGGGTGATTCTTTGTTCTGCGAGAGTGGCGTGTCAGGCTTGGATGAGAGGGTGCTTGCTGGGCTGAGGACTGCTAAGTTGGCTAGTGGATTGGCTAAGGCCTGGGGCGGGCAGTGCACAGTTGATCTCTCTGGGCTGGTGTTTGTCAGGACTACGACTGTCCGAGCTTGAGCGTGCGAGTGATGGGTTGATAATGTGTTTGATTATGATTACACCGTTAAACATGGACTGGTTAATACGGTTCATAACCAAGATTAACGCGACACGAGAAAAATGACAGATGAATGATCTGCTTTGAGTTATGTTTTCTGTTTTTTGCCTTTTTCATATTAGTTTGTTTCTGGTTTTTGCTTTAGGTAGTCTTTTTGTTGAATCTCTTTGGAATATAACCTCAATTATCACGTCATACCACCTCCATTTCTCACGCGTTCTTACAAACACACATTATCACTCGCACCAGCCAGTGTCCAAAACTCTTTCAATCGCCCAACAACCTCCGAGCACCATATCCCCATCCCTCCACACAAAGCGCTTAAATAACCAGCGTCCCACAAGTCATGAACTTGGAGGCACACATCCTATCACTAAACAACAGTAGACAACCTCAAACCCTCACCCGGACAAAAAAAAAAAACCAGCAAAAACCAGGACGTACTATGCCAGCACCATAGCCCGACATCCCCCATGGCTGTGCTAGATGAAATACGCTACCTCACAAGTTGGAGGTGAATATTCGCGAAGTGTCCGGGAGCGTCTTTACTGTATTATTAAAAATTCAAATCTTTCGTATTGTGCGTGGGGGCAGTCGAGTATTAACCGCCCTAGCGGTGCCTTATCCCCCTCGGTTGTTATATCAAGCTAGGGGGTGTGGTAGTATCAATGGATGAGGGTAGAATTCACCCCCTCCGCGGGGGCTTTCCTCTAGGCCACTTTGTACCAATCAGTGCTGGTCAATCGCGATGAGCGGGTTAACTGTAATCTCAATGAAGCCGTCAATCATATCAAAGATGGACCACTTTTTTTTTTTTTTGTTTCCCATTTCAGAGATTTTGATGGGAACCTGATTTGGGCGCAAGGGGGGATACATACATACAGTAATATACTGGGTTTGTGGCTAGCCACGCTCTGCTGGCACGTTAACCAGAGCGATTAAGTGATAGTGTACCTGAGTACTGTACAGTACTTGTCAACCATGTAAATGGACCCGCGGTGAACAGTGAGGAGGTTCGTCATTAAGTCATGTTTTTTTTTTTCTGCGCCACTAATCCGTGGGCATTCTTCGTGAAAGGGATGTACGTATTTAAAGGGGTTGTTGAACCATCACTGAGAAAGGCTGGAGAAGAGAACAAGAGGCAATGATTGTGAATAGATTTCTCATTCGAGGTTTTTTAGTTGTGTTGCTCTTGTCCGTTCTCAATCACTGAGAAAGGCGAGACCGGTTCACTTTGAAATCTGCTTTCATCAACACCCATCCTCTCCAGTGTTTCCCATTATCGTTCAACCCATCGGAGATCAAAAGGCAAACCATCATTGTTAGGGGGGGAAGTGCAATATAGATAAGTCTCAAATCAATTTCAACAAAAAAAAAACAACCCGATATTTCACTGCACTACACTGTGGGGTGTCAATATATTATGGGTCGGTATATATATCAGATACTGAACTGCACGACACGATTCCAGCCAAGCCACTCTATTATTATGCAGTAAGCTATCCAGTTCCCTCCCAATCAATCATTTCCCATGCATGCACGCATGCGAGAGCCTAGTGAGGAAGAAAAGAGTAAGATTATATGAAAAACAGAAACGAGGCTAAAGTAAATGAAGAGAGTGGGGGGGAAACTTGCACAATCTGTTCCATTTTGCTAAAAAAAAAAAAAGAGGGGGGGTAAAATGCAAAAAGGAAAAGAGTGTTAGAAAAAAATTGGGAAAATGGGTACAGGATATCGCCTGGAATTATGAGAAGACAGGTAACACGGACAAAGCGAGTAAATGGGTAAATTTTATTTCAAAAGAGGGAAAAGAAGGAAAAGAGCGATTCAAAGACACGAAAGTAAGAGAGAGCACCAAGAAATGGTAAATAAATAGAATGGACAAACACGATGAATCATCCCATCTCACTCGTTTCAATCCATCAGTGCTCCATTGATCAATTGCTTCTCGGCTAGCTCAACCTTGTATGCTTCTCTCTCTGACTCGCGATGCGCTTTTTCCCAGCCGTAAAGAGACTTGCGTTTGCGTTCTTGGATTATCCTATCCTCTTCATCGAGTTTTGCTTGGTCGAGTTGTAGACGACCGAGACGATCTTCCGCGGCTTTATCGACAGGAGGGAGAAGGCGACCACCAGGAATAAGAGTGCCGGGGCCGGAGGGTGCTCGTGGGGCCGGAGGGTGGTGATGGACGACATGATGAGTTGGGGGAATGCTACTCCTGTAGGGAAAATTTCCAGCTCGAGGGCCTGTTGGGATACCGCCCGCAGGAGGTGCAACTGGTTGATTACTCAGTGGGGCAATTGCGGCGGGAGGGGTGGATCCACTACGGGATGGTGCAGTCGACATTCTGCGAGGTCCGCTGGGAGGAGGGCCGCCAACGGGGCCACGAGGCTGAGTCGGGGGATTAGTTGGAGGTGGGCGTGGTGAATTGTAAGACGGGGACTGGCTAGATCGATGGCGAGGACCCGAATTCAGCTGTGGTGGTTCGTTATTCATCGGACGATTAGGGCGGAAGGAGCTTGGCCCACGAGGAGGAATTGAGCGAGAACCCCCGGAGGGTCCGCGAGGAGGGGGGCCTCCATGTCCACCACCATTGGGAACATATTGTCTCTCGGTCTGGTTTGCAGGCCCGGTCGGCGGTTCCGAGGGGCGGCGGGGAGAAACACCAGCACGAGGCCCATGAGGTGGAGACATAGCCCTTGAAGGAGGAGAGCGAGGACGAGATGGAGGAGCTGGTGAAACTTTCCCTCTGCTCTGAGCTTCCCCAGATAGTGCGGGGGAAGAACCAAAACGTCTGCTAGCGGGGCGACCGTTCTGACTTCTCGGAGATGCTTGGACGGATTCGCGGACTGGTGTACGAGAGCGTTGTCTACTCGGCGCGGTTGAGGGAGAGAAAGGTCTACCGGAGCCTCGGCTAGGAGGGGAATTAACTCTTCCCCTCTTTCTTGAAGGGGAAGCTGGACTTCGGGGAGATTTTGGGCGAGGCGAAATAGAATCCCTACGACGAGGTGGGGAGCGATAACGCCTAGGAGATCCTGAGCGCCTTCGAATGGCAGGAGACCTCATTGGCGAACGGGAGTAGCGATGAGGCGGAGAGCGAGCACGGATGAGTGACCTATCTCTCCGATCGGCTCTGCGAAAATTATTTCTATCGCGGGGCATTGGAGATCTTGATCTTGGGTACCTCCTTTGCGAGCGGGAGCGCTCTCGTCGACGGATGGGTGGTGATCTAGGAGAGACAGAGCGACGCCGGGATGATGGGTGTATTGGAGAACGAGATCTGGGACGAGACGAAATAGGTGAATGTCGAGAAGAAATTCGTTTGGTTGTGGATCGAGGACTCTTGTCCCTCGAGCAGTCCCTACGGGGCGGAGGTGTCCTATCCCTCCGTGGTGGTGGAGTACGGTCTCTGGATCTATCGCGGCGTGTAAGGTTTGGTGTTGGTGTGCGTCGCCTACGTACATGACGTGGAGATCTCGAAGGTGGGCTTCTCCCTCTGCCATTGCCTCTACGTATGGGTGTAAGCGAACGACTTCTGTCTCTTCGTCGAGGCGGGGTTCGAGATCTTCCTCTATCCCGTTCCCTGTCGCGTGGGGGCGGAGATCTCGATGGGGACTGTAATGACCGGCGGGGAGGAGTACGGGAGCGGCCTCTATCTGGAAACGGCGGTGATCTTGAGCTCATTCTACGGACATGACGCGTTGGCACCCAACTATCTCCTCTGACAGGAGAACGAGATGAGAGTCGCCGTCTACCCGAAGAAGGAACATATGAATCTAAACCTCGTGGAGGAGAAGGATCACGAAAGTCGCGGAATCTGGAAGTATTTGGGGTTGCTACCGTCAGCGAAGGATGGAAAGCGAGCAGGAAATCTCGACATGGCATCTCTTAACTCTTGGTTCAGCGGGGCAGGAACGGGGCCGAGGAATAAGAAAGGAATTGCGGGCATTCAGTACCTCCTGTCCCGATCTCGATCGCGGTCTCTTTCACGCTCTCTATCCCTTTCACGCTCTCTATCCCTCTCACGTTCTCTATCCCTCTCACGTTCTCTATCCCTTTCACGCTCTCTATCTCTTTCACGATCCCGCTCTCGGTCACGATCTCTCTCACGATCACGGTCCATGTTGTATTAATCGAAAGTTGAAGCTATCTGATACTGCTGGGTCGAGAGTATGGAATAAACAATGTATGATAATGATGGAAAGGAAAGTTGGCGATAAGTAATGGAGGTGTTCCAGGGAGCTTTCAGGTGCGCCGCATAAGCAGTTTCGGAGCGATGTTTCTCCTGCCTTTTTTTCTCGGGGGTCGCCTTGATCAGCTCAGGCTGGGCAGGGCCCACCCTTGTTGTGAATGCATGATCAGATAAATTACCGTTTTACTATGATATGATAAGAAGGCTCTGCCTAGCTGTATGAGTAAGCAACTGAAGTTTCAGGAAGAAAACGAGTGATGTCTTATGGTCAGCCTCAACTCCTTATTCATCGTTCTACAACCTGTTATGAGTAGGAAACCTGGCCAGAATTGGGACAAACATCTCCCAGCTCCAACAACCAGCAACAAACAACAAACCTCCACCGAAAGAGTCCATCATGAAATTCCTCGCGCTCCTACCGTTTCTGTCAGCCATCGTCTCGGCCTTAGATGTTCAGGGCACCTTTGCACCATCTCCTCTCCTACCCAATCCGTCCACCCTTCCGCCCTCAACCTCGCTCACACTCACCACCACCGGAACTACAAAGCGAACCCTAATACGGCGTGATAATACCTTCAGCTTTCGTGATGTGCCCGAGGGGTCATATCTGCTCGATGTGCAATGCCAGACTCATCAGTTTGCGCCTTTACGGGTAGACGTCAACGGGCAAGGGGAAGTGGTCGTGCACCAGACTTTCCGCGGCAATGAATGGAGGAATAAGGGAGAAAGGAAGAGTTATCCCATAGTTCGTCGACCTCTAATCATCCTGTTCATGCCTCATCTGCAGTTTGAATCATGGCTAAACTGAGTTTCTTTGTTTTTCCGAAAAGGAAATCCAACCAGTTCGTCCTATTGACTACTACGTCGTTCGTGAAAGCTGTGAGTTATCGACTTCTACTAAGACTTTAGACTTTAGACTAATACTCTCGCCTTAGTCAATCCTACCAAGCTCCTCGGATCACCAATGGTTCTCATCGCCCTCTTCACTCTAGTCATGATCGTCATGTTGCCCAAACTCATGGACCAAAGTTTGTTCTCCCTCCCCTTCCCTAGATTCTCTCTCCCGTCAAGACCAAACTAACAATCACCAGTGGACCCAGAATTCAAGGCGGAGCTAGAAGCACAGCAGCGCAAAGGCGGCGTAAACCCTGCAGTAAACTTCGACGTCGCATCCTTCCTTGCCGGAACCTCCTCGCCAGCTACCGGCGTCGCTGCATCTGGCGGGAAAGGAAAGAAAAATTAGATGAGCCTGCCTCATTGTCTTTTCTCACATCTTTTTTTTCTCCCTCCTTTAATTGTACACGGTTAAATGTTTAGACATCTGGGATCTGGATTGGCGGACTAGACTGGAGGATTCTGCCTGGACGAGCAAAACAAATGAGCGGATTAGGTGGGGGTGGGGGTGGAGTCGAAGGGAAGGGGATTCGTGTATCATTAATGCTGCTTTGGAATATCCTGCCCCGAGCTTTTTTGTAGAAATTTTCTCCCATGTCCAATTGTCCCGACATAACTCTCGTCCGGCGCTCTGTCTTCGGGCTCTGTCCCAATAGCAAAGAACCTCGACACCAGTAAACTCCAACCCAAGTCCATAATATGATATATCTTACAACCCACCTCACACCAAACCCCTATCCCGCCAAATCATCTACCCGCTTCAAGACCCTCGAATGCCGATCCACTTCCTCCACAATGTCCGCGATCGTCATTTTCGAGGTATCCATCTTAACCTCCTTCCCATCTTCTATTCAATCACTCCCCCCAATTAGCCCCCATGTGGAAAAATAGGAGGAAAGGAAGCATACTAAACCCAACCTCAATCCTCCCCCCAACCTCACTATCCCTGCTGAGCACGGTAGTCTTGATCTTCATAGTGATGTACGCGTCGGGGCCCAGCAGGGCCATGAATATGCGCGCCGTGCGGCCGGCTCTGGAAAAGGGGTTGAAGGCAATGCTCACGGTTGATAGGTATCGTGTTATCATATTTGCGGGTTGGTTTGTTGGTGGTCAGCGGTACGGTAATTGGGGGAGGGGGGTTGGGGGGTTGGTTTGTCTTTCCGTTTCCCTTCCCCGAATTTTTTTGGTTTGGTGGGTCATTGTTGATTATCTGATTAGATGGGTCATGGAGATCACTCGGTTTTGGGATTGGGGGGTCTGGGGTGGTTTGTGCGAGTGAGGGGCAAGGATAGTATGATATGATGCAAAGTGCTGCAAACCAGGACCAAACTTGTCGCATCCTGAAATGCTACTACTCTGGAAGGGCGAAGGGTTATAAATATTTAAAACTGTATGATATATTATGTGATAATTGTGATATCTCTGGTTGAATTTTTTTTTTGCAAAGATCTTTATTTTAAACGGACAAACACTTTTGACCCCAAATTCATATCATAATATCATATGATAGAATTTTTGATATATCATACCATAACTGGGGAAGAAGAAAAAACTAGAACAATGACAGAAATTGGATATGGGACCCTGCTCGCAAATATATTTCCCTCATTTACAACCCCTTGCCCTCACAGAATAGAAGCAACGGACTTGATCGTGGTTTGGAGCTCTTCGCATCATATGGTATGGTTCGTTCCAGGCTAAAAGTGGCACTGAGGCGAATGCAACGCGGGGTGCTTTGGCATTAGATTCTAGGGGGAAAAACAAAAAATACAGGTCCATGTTCAGATCCCGGTGGCAGTTGAGTTATCATTATTTTCTGTCAAAAACTGCGCGGGAGGGGGAATTTGCGTAGGGAACCAGGGCCAAAAGGCGAGTGACCGTATCACGATCCGGTCATATCCACCTATTGGCGGTATTTGCGCTTTCTAGGGGCTGGGTTCTTGCAGTTTTCGGAACCGCAAGGTATAAGGAACAATAGGCACCTACATGGTGGGGTCCCCACTGCGTCCACCTCGGTGCTAAGTAGACAGCACGAACCATACATGCGATACCGGTATATCATGGGCTATTTGAGTGTTGTTTCTATTGTTTCTTTTCTTTTTTACTGTAGATTTGTCTACCTTTGGATTCCCCTACGATTTCGTAACGCTTTGTGAAGGACTGGCGGTCCGCATTGTGCTCGAGCATGGTATCACCGGGAAATCACTTTCTTGCGCCAATTCGTGGATAGAGCTGAGCAGATGTGCGAGGGTTTCCGCGGATGCATGTATATATGAACATATAGAGTATTTTCCATTTAAAAAAAAAAAGAGCACGTTCAAACAAAGACGCTAGTTCCCCCGAGATCGATACCGCTTCCCGGTAGCATCTCCAAGAATAACATATCGAAAAAACCCGTAAGAAATAATAGGAAGGTCCCAACAGTGCCACTTCTGATCTCACAACTGGTTCTGGTATCAGTCGATATCAGTGTTATGCCATTGTGCTATACATGCTCTCCCTGGACTGAGTTATCATCCGATTCTTCCGCAAGCTCATCGATTGCACTCTGGGACATGCTTGATCGTCCCCCGCCCATTCCTGAAAATGATCTGCGCGCTTCTTCTGCCGCCCTGCGAGCCTCTTCAGCTGCCCTTTGACCCTCTTGAGCCATACTCTGTCTAGCCATTTGTGCTCTTTGAGCCTCATCCAATCCAGGGTAACCTTGGCCTTGGTGGGGAAGGTGGGAGCCTTGAGTCGGGTTGGAGTTTCCAGGAATATACCCCCCCCAAGTGTTGTTCTGGGAGCGCTGCTGTGAGGGGCCCTGGCCTTGGTGGGGAAGGTAGGAACCTTGACTCGGGTTGGAATTTCCAGGAATATACCCCCCGGAAGTGTTGTTCTGAAAGTGCTGCCGTGGGGGGGGCTGACCTTGGTGGGGAAGGTAGGAACCTTGACTCGGGCTGAAGTTTCCGGGAATGTACCCCCCCGAAGTGTTGTCCTGAAAGAGCTGCCGTGAAGGGCCCGGACTGAAGGGTCCAAGGTTTGGATCCGCTTCTGGCCCATGCGGGAAGCCATCGCGATTGCCTTGTGGATACGGGGCCCCCTGGTTTTGGACCGGGGGAGTAGGTTGGGAGAGAGGATACGCTAGGGGATGATAGTCGGGTTGGTCTTCCGGAGTGACTCCATGTTCACGGCCCTGCCCCTGGGGGTGTTGACCGCTCTGATTCTGACCCTGGCCCTGCCCTTGGGGAGTGTGTATGTTATGGTCACTATGGTCACTATTGCCGTTACCAACCCCTTGTATAGCTATAGGAACGCTGGGCACGCTCTGTCGGTTGCTGCCTCTAGAGATACTAGAATTCCGTTGGCTATAATTCTGTTGATTACTGCTGTGTCCTGAATTATTTATTCCGGCGCTGTTAGGCGGAGTTTCAGGGAAATCAGGTCCACGTGTGCTACTGTCGTCCGCGAACATGGTTTCAAATTCTTCATCCTCCCCTTGTTCATCGTACTGCACCACAAGTAAATAAAACCCAACTTGATGAATAACATCTGTGGATAACCTACTCTATCAATAATTGCTCCAAGGAGTAGTTTTGTCACCTAACAAAAATAAAGAATTAGTATAAGCTTTTATAATAGAGAATTCCAAGAGGCCTGTAGACTCTGGCAAATAATACCGTGAATGGCCTGTCATCAGAGAGATCAAGGCTTTGAGTTGCTAAAGTTTTTGCGTCGAATGTTAGGACACCCTTATGTAGGAGAGTTATAATAGTATATGGGGCGCACCTTTCTGGCAATCTACATAAGTACCAACTTTCTCGTGAACATCTAGGCCCTGCAGCACCCTTCGAGCCCCTTCATCGTTCCCAATGCAAGAAAATTGGAAGGCGACAGCTTAAAAGACACAAATTAGCTAAGTATACCACTTCCAAATGATATACTAGACTCACAATCTGCTCCTTGAGGCCTGGCATCATTTAGTTTGTTTACGCAGTTTATGATCACTTTCTCCAGAAGGCCTTTCCTTTCGCCTTCAACCTGTCGAAATCCTGATATAAGCTCAAAAGCTTCAGGCAGGGGTACTGGGTTGAGATAACTTACTGCTCCGTCGGTGATGACCATAACTAGCAGCGGTTTTTTCATGGGTGTTTCCCCTAATACTAGCGGCTTTAGAATCCTCTTGTGGAGTTCCGTGCCTATCCTGGTGGCACCCCCGAAATAGTGACCCCGGACAAGCTCATATGGATTTCCAAGAAAGTTGTCTTGCTCGTCGTAATTGTTCATGAAGCGAATTGCTCTAATCCCAACCCCGGGTTCAGAAGCATGCTGGTATATGTTGTTGATAGTCTTTAAGACATCTTTTAGGATTTCTACCCGTTGGCCATTCTCTTCGGATGACATGGATTCACTATCGTCTGAACTATGCAACGTGATGAGAAACACTGTGTATAATTACCTTGGAAGGGGAGAAGAGAGAGGAAATGACCACCTATCAATATAGCCATATCGTAGAGAGCCAGTATTGCCAAATCTTTCGTGAGCTCGTTGACTTCTTTTTGATCAACACCGAGCAATTTGCCTTCCACCACACTTGTAACCAGACGGGAAGCTCTAGCGCTCGCATCGCGCAGGTTGAGACCGTCCGGGCTCTGATCATCTTTGTAGAAGTGCGCAACACCTTTTTTCTGCGCTAGCAGGAAGGTTTTCAGCCTCTCGCGACACCTTTCCTCGGAGCAATATTCTGATTGGTCTTCTCGGGGCATTTGGAGAGTCTCGGGTCGGTAATAGGGGCGCTTTTGAAGGAGGGTGTGTTAACTCCTGTTCTTTGGGAGAAATAACGGCTTTTAAGTTATCATGGTGTCCTTGATAGCATCCCAACCCCCAGGCTATACCAACATTAGATGACACCGTGCCCCATGGCCCAAGAGGACTGCGCATGCTAAGACGCGCGCAGTGGAAAGGGACAGGGCACAAATAAACATGGCGTGTGTTATCGGTGGCTGAAAGGGAGCTTCGATTGGCAGGTTGGCCAGTATATGAAGACGATTTGATGTGTTCTATAGGCTTGGCCCCGGACGAAGACAGAATACATGACTGAGTCCGGATACTCTAGACACATGTTCATCTTCAACTTGCTCAGGAATTCGTACACAGTGAAATGACGTTTCCTTCCATCTTTTTACTAATGAGGGCGAGAGCATAATTGTGACTTGTATCGATGCTTAGGAATTGTCCGATTCACTTGATTCTTGACACGAGCGAGGAGGTGGCCGCATTACTGCACCTCCAATTTAAACTTCTCCAACCATGATTAAGTGAATGCAGCATCATTCTGAGCAAGTCCCAAATTTGTGGGTTCTCCATGCTTCGATATGGGAGTTGGGATAAGCTGGGTGGTTGGGCTGGGGTTAAACAGAATCTCTCATGTGTTGGGTGGAGAGTGGTGGGTTAGAGGCTCAATGGCATACTGTACTATAGAGTACAAGTACTGGTATCGTACCGTATTACCGGCATGACACCGAGCACCGCGATACCGGTACAGTAGGAGTACAGTACAGTACCTTATTGAACTGGAAAGTAAGGTACGTCCTGGGGGCAAACACTATGCGACACAGCCTGGTACTGTAATTGCGGCGCTCGAGTGCCATACCGATAGTGATAGCACCAAAAAATGGCCTTATGGTCTAATGTGACAATATTATTATCATCATGACTCGGTATTATATCTTGCGGTTTATCACCACGGAAAAACCTAAAGATTTTGTTATGGCTCAACTGCTTCCCCACTATTTGCCCTTGGCACAGGTACTGCGGAAGCCCCACACTTCGCGTAGCATCCAAACAATCACCCGCAGGTGCCCCCTATTTGCTGATACCATCATAGAGGAAATATCCAATAATTTTGGAATAGGATGCGGGGGATCGAGCTAGTTCATATTAACAACTCAGCACGCACCGCATCACAGCCTGGTAATTTTGTGTAAATTGAAGTGCTTGGTTGTTTCAAAATATTCGGAGAGCGAGCAGGAGGAAGCAGCCTGGTTTATTATCTATTGGTCTGGTGACCGAACCTACTCCTTTGCGGCCCTTGGTCGCAGTGGCCCGGATATTTCCTGAAGTGGCCCTTCCCCAACCAGTGAGAGGGCTTCCGGC